CCTGGGACGCTTGTGCCGGGGATAATCACTCTCCAAACAAGGCTTTAATAAGTCATTCCGCTAAGGAGATTTGATGGCATTATTCCCTAGCCAAGCCAATCTGCAAGGCAAGAAGGTGGGGAGGGGGAGATGGATTTCCTGCGCCCCTCATGGCAGGACATGGATGCAGGGGCACCACACACACACACACACACGCAAGAACCCTTAAAATAACACACCATCCTTGCCACTTCCTAAGGCCCCCCATAGGGCTCCTGTCTAATTAATAATTAAGCTTCACTCTTTGAGGGATTGTACCCTGGAGAGGCCGAGCTTAACTTAACTTTCTCCCTCAGGAAGGGAGCAGCATGAACAGTTAAGATGTAGGGCTTGTCCTCCTTCTGCCCTGCTCCCCATGCCTGGCAAGGGCAAGCAGTTCAGTAAGTACTGCTTCTCTCTTCCTCTTTTGATGTTTGCTGGGAGGAAATCTGCAAGAGAACAGATACAAATTGACACTGTAACTATTCCCAGGACTCATGGTTTAAAAAAGGTGCCATCTTCCTATAAATACTAGGTGGATACTTGTTATGCTTAGGTGGACCCCAGTGCTATCTTTGGGGTTTCTTGGCAAGATTTGCTCCGAGTGGGCATTCTATTGTTTTGGCCTGAGGCTGAGAGAGTGGACTTTGCTCAAGGTCATGTGTAATTGATGGATCCTTCACAGGTTCTATCAAATGAATGCAGTTTATTTATTTATTTACCACATTTTTATCCCACCCTTTTCAGCCCGAAGGCGAGTCAGGGCGCCGTACAGACTGACAACAATTAGATGCTGAACACACATAAATACATTATTTAAAACAGGTTAAATCAAATAATAAAATTCATATAAAAACAATTAAAAACTCTAAAAATCTATGACTTCCAGGTTTAAATCCATGTCCATTTGCATCATTAAGCCGTTCCGTATTTGTTCACAATACTGAGTTTATCTGGTTACAATGAGGTTCCAAAAGCTTGCTCAAAGTTTGACATCACTTTACCTGCCATGGCTTATTCTTTCACAGAGAAAGCAAAAGACTTTGTCAAACCACGACTCCCAGGGTTCCAAAACACTGAGCCATGGTAGTTAAAAGTGGTGTCTGGCTGCATTCATTCTACAGTGCAGATGGACCCTTAGTCCTATACTCAGAGCAATATACTATGTTGACTCTATTTGTTAAGATGCAAAGATTTCTCTGAAAATGAGAAAGGGTTTCCAAACAGCATGGCATTAGAGCAGTGGTTCTCAGCCTGTGGGTCTCCTAGAAATCCTAGCAGCTGATAAACAGGCTGGGATTTCTGGGAGTTTGAGGTCAAAACACCTGGGAACCCACAGATTGAGAACCACTGTATTAGAGTATTGGCTGTCACTTCTTGAGCCCAGTGACCATGTCCTTCACATGGGAAGATAGAAATGGATGCACCACACACTGAGCCTTATAATGCTCTCAACCACCCCATAGTGCAATCCAGTCACCAGCCTTGAAGTAAGCATACCTGTCTGCAATGAAACTGGCTACCCATCTTGCCTTTGGCCTCTGGAATTAAAGTATTTCTGGCCAGCCTTGACAGGTAGTTGGGAGTTCCCCAGGGGCTCATAACAGACTCTGTGATGAGCTGGGTGCCTCTAGCCATGTGCACATGCAGCCAGAGCAAGGAGAGCGGCGAACAGAGCTGGAGGGCTTCTGGTGCCAGAGATGGACTCCACAGGTGGCTGAGCAGAACAAAACCCAACCCGGCTTAAGGCAGGCCAGTCCTTCCACAAGTAACCTATACATTATGAAGACCAAGGCATCCCACATCCAAAGCCAGCAGTTTGGAGGAGTGGATTGCAAGGCTCCATCTACACTGTCATATAATGTGTGATATAATGCAGTTAAAATGCATTATATCAGTGATTCCCTGCCTTTTTTAAAAAAAATCAGGGACCTCTTTGACCAGGGACCACTCTCCAACATTAGTACCAAAAGGGTTACGAATCTGCTTTTGGTCAACTTTAGATGCAGTTTGGCTATTTGGGGTGCTGATTCAGAAAATAGCATTGGACAGGCCACATCAGCTCTAGGTTTTGATACAGAACATATGCCATCCAGCAGTCTCCATCTGCTCACCCACAGAAAACCATATTTAATAAGCCTTGGCACTATAAGAGCGTTTTGTGAGACCAGTCGCTTTTGTTGCAATGGTGTAGTAACAGTGAGGTCGCGAAACATATTTTAGTTCTCGCGGACCACTGGTAGTCCATGGACCACAAGTTGGGAACCATTGCATTATATGAATCTATGCTAACTATATAATGCAGTTTCAAACTGCATTGTATGGTAGTGCAGGTGGGGCCTAAGCCAGACCGAAGATCTGTGGGCTTCCAGGTATGAGGTTCTTGGTTGGGGAGTGCCAATCTTTCCACAAGTCACAACTGGATGTGTATGTGCATGTGTAAACCTCCTTTGACCCACAGTCCGTGTGAGGGATGGGAGGCTAAAAGGCAGAGGGAAGATCAAGGGACTTGGATGCCACCTCTGAAGGCAGCAGGCTGGTTGAGACAACTGTAAACCAGAGAGAAATATGATTTGCATATACAATTTTTTGATGTTATACAGATATACATTTTTTTGCTTATTGACTATTTAAAATTCCCAGGCAAAGTGGGGACCCCTTTGAGATACCCCTTTGAGAGAGGGTGTCAGCATGGAAAGGTGCTACTCCCCTCACCCCCACCCCTGGTTTACAAGCAGTTGCTTCTTTTGGACACCCCCTTTGGCCTCTTTGGTTGAGGGAGATAGCAGCCAACCTTGGGACCCAGTACAGGAGTCCCTGAGATAGATAGATAGATAGATAGATAGATAGATAGATAGATAGATATAGACAGACAGACAGACAGATAGATAGTTGGAGTTACACTTTAAAATGTGCCTGTTCCAACTTACATACTAATTCAACTTAAGAACAAATCTACAGAATCTATCTTGGTTGCTGTGAGTTTTCCGGGCTAAATGGCCATGCTCCAGTAGCATTTCCTCCTGACATTTCACCCACATCTACGGCAGGCATCCTCAGAAATTGAGAGATCTGGAGATACCTGCCATAGATGTGTGCAAAACGTCAGGAGGGAATGCTTCTGGAACATGCAGCCTGGAAAACTCACAACAACCCAGTGATTCCGGTGATGAAAGCCTTCCACAACACATAGAACCTATCTTGTTCGTAATTTGGGGACTGCCTGAATGTATGTATTTATTATTTACTTTATTTATACTCTGCTTTTCTCTTCAGTTAAAAATCGCATATTTTGATCAATTTAAAATAAAATGAAAACAAAACAAAGCAATGGCTTTTATGGACGAAATCAAGGGGTTGCTGTGAGTTTTCTGGGCTGTATGGCCATGTTCCAGAAGCATTCTCTCCTAACGTTTCACTCACATCTATGGCAGGCATCCTCAGAGGTTGTGAGGTCTGTTGGAAACTGGGTAAGTGAGGTTTATATGTCAGTGGAATGTCCAGAGTGGGAGAAAGAACACTTGTCTGCTTGAGGCAAGTGTGAATGTTGCAAATGGCCACCTTGATTAGCATTTAAAAGCCTGGCTGGTTGCTGCCTGGGGGAATCCTTTGTTGGGAGGTGTTAGCTGGCCCTGATTAATTCTTGTCTGGAATCTCCCTGTGTTTTGAATCAGGAGATATGGAGTTTTTTTTTAATACTGGTAGCCAGGCATAGTGGGGGGGGGGGGGGTGGGGGGGCTTTAGCCCCCCCCCCAAATTCTCATGGTGGTCCGCGAGAAGGTCTTACTGGTACATTATTTAAACGTTATGTTTATTCATATCATGATCTGATCACCATACTCAATATATCCCATATGCATGGGGGTATTGGGGTAACGATACAAAAGGTTTGCTAGGGTAGACCCTTTCACTCAGACTTAGCCCCCCCCCCCCCCCCCAATCAAAATCCTGGCTATGGGCCTGTTGGTAGCCAGATTTTGTTCATTTTCATGGTTTCTTCTTTTCTGTTGAAATTGTCCACATGCTTGTAGATTTCAGTGGCTTATCTGTGCAGTCTGACATGGTGGCTGTTAGCGTGGCCCAGTGCTGTTAGAATTGTTAGAGTGGTCTACCTCCCAACAAAGGATTCCCACAGGCAGCAACCAGCCAGGCCCTGAAACTGCAGGCCATGAAACGCTAATCAAAGTGGCCAATTCAAACATTCACACTTGCCTCAAGCAGACAAGAGTTCTTCCTCCCACCCTGGACATCATTCCACAGATATATAAACTCCACTTGCCTAGTTTCCAACAGACCTCACAACCTCTGAGGATGCCTGCCACAGATGTGGGAAAAACGTTAGGAGAGGATGCTTCTGGAACTTGGTCATACAGTCCAGAAAACTCACTGCAACTGTGTGTGTTGCGTTCACATATAGTCCAAAAACACCCTGTATAATTGCAGACGGACAATTCTCACACACCAGAAGCAACTTGCAGTTTCTCAAGTCGCTCCTGACATGAAAAAAAATGCAGTCATGCTGTCCACATGAACTTGGAGATGTCTACGGACAACGCCTGCTTTTCGGCTTCGAAATGAAGATGAGCACCAACCAACAGAGTTGGACACGACTAGACTTAATGTCAGGGGAAAACCCTGACCTTTACCTTTATAATGAATACAATTAAAAATCCATTTAAAAATACACAACCCCCCCCCCCCCCCCCCCAAACCCAATCCATGGCGACCTGGATGCAGCCCTGAAGGCAACCCTAGGTTGGGTGAGAGGACTGTAATCCAAGATCTGGGAAGTCAGGAGGGGTGTCTTGCAGGTATGAGGTCCCTGGTTAGTGGGGAGGGGTGGGTGACGGGGGGAGGCCCCCTTTCCGAGGGGAGGGGGAGAGGGAGCAGGGGCTGCTTCGCAAGCAGGTGCCTCCTTTGGGGTGTCCCTCCCTCCCTCCCCACCTTCCTCTGGGCCTGCCGCCCAGACCCGCGCGTCCTGCGCCTTTAAGGGCGGCTGGGCCCGATCCCCGGCAGCCGGGAGCAGAGCGCAGCGGGCCGGGCCTGGTCTGGTGGCGGATCCGGGCGAGAGGGCGTTTACCCCGGACAGGCGGAGGGAGGAGGAGGAGGAGGAGGCGGAGGAGGAGGAGGAGAAGGAGGAGAGGCCGGGCCCGGAGCAGCAGCAGGCAGGAATGGAGAAGAGGAGGCGGCGGCGAAGCAAGCGAAGGACGCGGGCCGCGCTGTAAACAGGGGCCGGAGCTGGGCCGCCGGACTCTCTTTCCGCTGCAGCCCCAAAGAGGAGGAGGAGGAGGAGGAGGAGGAGGAAGAGGAGGAGGCGGAGGCCCGAAGGCCAGGAGGTGAGCTGGATCTGCAGGACCCTCTCTCTCCCTTTAAGGAGAGCCCGGGAGGAGCCCATGGGCCGGCTTGAGAAGCCGAGGGGCCTTCAGAGTGGAGAAGGGGGCAAGTGGGGAAGAGGAGCCCCAACCCTTGCCTTGGGAGCAGCCCCGTGGGGGGCGCAGCCTTGATCCGAGCCTGGAGGGGTGGGTTTTGCGCTTATGGGGCTTGCGTGGTCGCACCTACAACCATTGACTTGGAGGAGACCCCGAGGGCTAGCCAGTCCAGCCCCATGCCCTCCCACACAGCCCTACAACCCAGAATATCAAGGCAGGAAATCCCACAAGATCTGAGTGTGGCCCTTCCACACAGCCCTATAACCCAGAATATCAAGGCAGGAAATCCCACAATATCTGCTTTGAACTGGGTTATCTGAACCCACACTGCCATATATTCCACTTCAAAGCAGATAATGCGGGATTTTATTCAGCTGTGTGGAAGGGGCCCCAGGGACGCACAGCCCAAGCACCCCCGACAGATGACCTGTGTGTATGTCTCCTAGGCTGGCACTTCCCAACAGCCAAGATCTCTCACTAGACAGACGACTCCCCACTTTTCCCCTTCTAGCCCAGGGTGAAAAGGCCCCTCTGCAGGACACGGGGTGGCAATGCACCCCAGGGATCCTGGCCCTATAGAGGTTAGTGAGAACTGTCACCTCCAGGCTTGCAGTGCATGGCTCCCTCCTCCCCTCCATTGGTTGGTGGGATCCCTCTGCTTCCCCAAGAGGGAGCTGCTCCTCACTCAGCCTGGGCAGGAAGCAGGCCTCCCCGAGGAAGGTGCAAGTGGGCTTCTCCCCACTCCTTGGTGGGTCCTGGCTGTTTTATAGGCCAGATCTAGAAGGCAGGTTGACACCATGAGCCTTATTTTCTTCCTGGGAAGTATCAGAAACACCCAAGTAATGGGAACTAGGGGGTGGGTTTGCAGGATAGAAGAGGAAGACAAGCCCTCCTTTGACCCACAGCCTGGTTTGAGCCCAATGGTGGCATCCAGAAAAGCCTTGACCGCCAGGGATATTTTGTGTAGAGATGGCTCTTTACAAGGTGGTGGGTCAGGGGCAGCCAGGATATATCTCAGATCCCTCCCACGCATCCCTATATCCCCGAATATCAAGGCAGAAAATCCCATAGTATCTGTTTTGAACTGGAATATATGGCAATGTGGACTTTGATCACCCAGGGCCCTTCCACACAGCCATATAACCCAGAACATCAAGGCAGAAAATCCCACAATATCTGCTTTGAACTAGGTTACCAGAGTCCACACTGCAATATAGCCCAGTTCAAAGCAGATGATGTGGGATTTTATTTAGTTGTGTGGAAAGGGGCCTCATAACTCAGGGGTCTTCCTGACAGGTCCTATATCCCAAGATCTGATTCTGAGTTTCCTGTTTATCCCAGATTATCTGGCAGTGGGGACTCATATAATTCAGTTTAAAGCAGAAAACCTGGGATCAGATCCTGGGGTATAGGACCTGGCTGGAAGAGCCCTCAGTTCAAAGCAGATATTGTGGGATTTTCTGCCTTGATATTCTGGGATATAGGGCTTTGTGGAAGGGCCCTCAATGAAGAACCATAACACCATGCCTTCATGTTAGGATACTCACTACTCACCTCAGCATCATGTTGTTCTATCAGAGTGTTCTTGTTTATTATTGTATTGGTTAAGAATGCTAAAAAAAACTTATCCTGTTGCGCTAGTCCTGAAATGTGTGCAGTGTTGTTGCTCTCTAGCTCAGGCCCTTCTTCTCTCCTTGACCACCCGAGTGTCTCACTTCCTTCCCCTCCAATGTTTTAGTTTGGAGGATTGTATTTTGCCTGCACTCCCTGACCTCCAACTTGCACAAAGCTGTCCTCAAGTGCCACTTGTCGGCTGAGCTGTTGGTGGCCGTGACTTTGCCCCACGCCGCCGGAGGTGGTTGTGTGCCAGAGTCCTGCCCAGTGGGCTGCCATGCCTTTGCCTTGGCACTCAAGGGTGGCCTGCGTGGAGTTGTGTTCTGTGGGGAGGCGAAGAAACGAGGGGGGCTCCTGCCTCTGAAATACATCTCTGTTCCTAACCGTAAAGGGCAGTGATGTCATGGCGGTGACGCCATCTCCTGGGATGGATGCAGATAAGGACTGTGTAGGAGGGTGTTGGAATTGCTCTCTGAAGAGGTTGGAGCTAAAACAAGCCCTGGTTTTGGCTGGCACTCAAGACAAATAGAGTTTGAAAGGGGAAAACTATTCCCGTTTGGTTTCACATTGAACTGCGAGCTGGGTTGGAGAGAGGAAATTGGCTGCCAGGACCTCTGTTCTTCCACCCTCCCCTTTCCCCTCATTCAAAACTCATTCTGTCACACACTGGGCAAAGCTCCTCGAAACTCAGAGAAAGAGGGTGGACTTCTCAAGGCCGGGAGAGCAGAGGAAGCTGAAATGAAGGCGTCTAGTAAAGTGCGTGTTGGCAGAGCCTGTCCTGGGCTGGAATTCCTTTATCCTTGGTTGCTGATCTTTGTCCGGTGGTTCGGGTGAGCTAACAAAGGGAAGGGAAGATTTGGGAAAGGTCTGGATCTTCGTGGGTTCCTTCATGCAGCAGTGAGTGAAATGGCCCTCCAGATGTGGCTGGGCTACAGCACCCAGAATTTCTCACTAGGCTAGGACTAGTGGGATTTGCAGTCAAGCAGCCTTTAGGCAGCTGCTTGATTTCTACCTCTGCAATGGGGCGAAGGGCACACATGTGCTTAAGGACACCCTTGGAGTGGGCTTCACTACATTCCTGGTGACCCCAGCCAGTATGACTGCAGTCTTTTGATGTAATTCCTTTCCATCATCTATTCCCCCCCCCCCCCCCAATTTTTACAGTCACTCTGAAGTCAGTTAGCATGTTGGGCATTGCTATAGTGTTAACACTACGGCTATTTTGTTGCTGGAGCAACCACAAAAAAATTATGATTATAGCTCTCTCTCTCTCTCTATACATCACTCTACTGCTGGCAGTTTGTGAGTTAAATGTTATTGGGTAGTTTGGTACCTGTGATTATTTTCTCTTTCCCGTTGCTAAACTCTAGTTTGGGGGAGACAACCCTCTGGATTAGAGGTGTTTTGGACTAAGTTCCCACAATGTCTTGAATTGGTCTGGAGGGCCCAAGGGTTGTCACCCAAAGCTAAAGTCAATTGGAGCCTTTATTTATTATTTACTTATTTACTATATTTATATCCCATCTTTCTCAACCCCGAAGGGGACTCAAGGCCGCTTACAGATAAGCAGTAATTCAATGCCTTAACAACAATATACAATTAAAATAAACATTTGAATGAAAAAAGATCCAGATTGAAATACAGAAACATCTTTCTGTGATATTTCCTTTCCTTCTGATTCAGAGTGTCTGTGTCTCTATTTTCTGCATGTACTGTGTTTGTTAAGAGAAAATTTGTCCTAGTGCTGTATTTCATTTATTTTTATTTTGAGCAAGGGAGGTATGCTATCTGCTCCTCCCCCATATAGTATTTACCTTAATGGCCCATGATTTCTAGTGGTGCAGCTAGTCCCTCCACAGAAATAGATCATGGCTACTTTATGTGATTTCTTTGTGTGTGTATGTGTGTGTATGTGTGTGTGTTGATAGGTGCTGTGGCCGGTTCATCACCTGGTGCCCACTGTCTAGTGATGAGCTATTTAGCTAAGCACATGCCTAGGCAACAGACAGGCCCGTAGCCAGGATTTCGTTTCGGGGGGGGGGGGGGCTAAAAAATTTTCAGGGGGGGTTTCGGGGGGGCTGAGTTTCGGGGGGGGGGCTGAGTCTGAGTGAAAGAGGGTCTAGCCTAGCAAACCTTTTGTATCATTACCCCAATACCCCCATGCATATGGGATATATTGAGTATGGTGATCAGATCATGATATGAATAAACATAACAGTTTAAATAATGCACCAGTAAGGCCTTTTCACGAACCACCATGAGAATTTCGGGGGGGGGGGGGCTGAAGCCCCCCGAGTCCCCCCCTGGCTACATGCCTGGCAACAGAGATGCCTGAAGCCAGGAGCATATTCAAAGCATTGCCAGATTACTAGGACTTGTCAGAGTTCAAGCTCTGCAGGCATAGCCTTCAAAATCCCACCTCTGTGCACCAAAAGCATGGCAGAGTAGAGCTTTGTGCAGGAAAGGCAGTTAAATTATAGAGGCGATAGGAGGTGGGAAAGGGATACAAAAGTGTATAGATAAAAAGTGGGTAAATAAATCTAAGTGTGATTGGACTCTCCAGAATCATAATGCCACAGAACTGGAAGGTTTTCAAAGGCCATCTAGTCCAATACCTTGTGGAAATTCAGAAATTCAAACAAAGCACTCCTGAAATTCTTTTCAAAGAAGGAGATTCTATCACTCCACAAGACACTAAAGAATCACAAGTCTCTGAAGTGCTTGCAGCAGAATGCGAAGGAGAGGGGAAAGTGTGGCGGTGGGTACGGATTGATCAGGAGATCGAAACCTGGTCTAGATTCCCAGGCAATTGCTGAATGGAATTGCTACAGATGCTATCAGCTGTGGAATGGGATTTAGCATGAATGACCAGCCTGACAAGCTTCATTTCTCCCAGCAGGTTGTAGTTCCAGCTCAATGCTGAAGAGGAAATAAAAGGTGCCCCTCACAGTTGCTGCTCTGCTTTCCCTGTGGGGATCCATGTCGCCTCATCACACCCAGTTCCCAGTGGCCTTTCAGGTATGGGGTGCATGGGTTTCCTTACAACAGTGAATGTGTGGTTTCTGATGATGGCAGTAGGGCAATTCCTATTTTATGTCTCAAAATATTTTTCTTATGGTCAGAAACATCTTTCTGTGATGTTTCCAAGTGTTGGTTGTTGTAGGTTTTTTGGGCTATATGGCCATGTTCTAGAAGCATTCTCTCCTGCTGTTTTGCCTGCATCTATGGCAGGCATCCTGCGACCTGTCGGTCTTCAGTCCTACCAGCACAGGGCTTTAACCCACTGTGCCACCGGGGGCTCCTTTCTAGAACATGGTCATATAGCCCAAAAAAAAAAAAACCCTACAACAACCCAGTGATTCTGGCCATGAAAGCCTTCCACAATACATTTTCCAAGTGTTATTTTCCTGGAACTTAAATTTGGAAGCCTTTTGGATTCTTGTCCGCACCTTCCGCTGGTCAGCAAGGTTTGGAAAATTCAGGTGGAAAAAAATGCCTAGAATCCACAAGAGATTGTTTGATCACAGCGTTCTGGCATTTATTGCCTGGAAAAGGAGTTTTTTTCATTTTGGTATCTCCAGCCACTTGCATCTTGTCTCATGCTGTCTTGGATCCAGCTTCCTTGCTTGAAGCACATCCTGTCTAATGGCTTTTATATGTTTGCTGTGTGACTTGTGACTGAGACTGGAAACAATCTGAGTGCCTTCTCCGTTGCCTCAGGTCTTTGCCTCCAGGAGGGAACTCAGGGGTCAAATCTTTTTTGGCTGTTAGTGCTTTTTTTTGTATGTCTAGTCTCACTTGCCTTTTCCTTTGCAGCATGTCCTGGTTTAGTGGCATCCTGGTGCCCAAAGTGGACGAGCGGAAGACTGCTTGGGGGGAAAGGAATGGGCCCAAGCGCCATCGCCCAGCGCTCTGTGGCCCGCGCTACATGAGCTGCTTGCAGGACCCGGAGCTGGAGCGAGGAGGCAGTGGGGGACTTGGGCTCAATTGTTCATGGCAGGAGGACCACTATGGCAAGAAGCAGCCACTGTCACCGCCACCACCTGCCAGCGGGGCAGGGGACTTGGGGCTCAAAGCTGTGGACTTGGGCTTTGAGGACAGCGGGGGAGCCGCGGCAGAGTCCAAGGGGTTTTCGGCCAGGGACTGCGGCCGGCGCCTCCTGCACGTGTTCCGATCCAAGCGTTTCCAGTCGGCCAAGCTGGAGCGCCTCTACCAGCGCTACTTCTTCCAGATGAACCAGAGCTCATTGACTGTGCTCATGGGAGTCTTGGTGCTGGCTTGTGGCATCATGCTGGTATTCCACTGTGTGCCTGGCAGTCCTCGCGTGCCGTATGCTGCCGCCCTGGCCGTGGCGGCCGCCCTCTTCCTCTCCCTCATGTTCCTGTGCAACCGGACCAGCTTCCATCAGGACTGCATGTGGGCTGTGAGCTACCTAGTCATTGGGGCACTGTGTGGGGTGCAGGCTCTGGGCACCCTTCTGGTCTCACCGCGGAGTGCCTCCGAAGGGGTCTGGTGGAGCGTCTTCTTCATCTATATCATCTATACACTCCTGCCCGTGCGCATGCGGGTGGCTGTGCTGGCTGGAGCCTTGCTCTCTGTGCTTCACCTGGTCATCTCTTGGCATCTAAACAAGACAGACTCCTTTCTTTGGAAACAGGTAAGGGAAGGGAGGAGTGCAGGTAACAAATGAGTGAGCCTGCTGGGTGCTAAAGGAGTGGGCTGAAAATTGCTGAGAAAGGGAGAAGTGAAACCTAATACTAATGGATGTACTGAAAGGAGGGCCATGGCTTGGGCATGAAAGGAAGGGGTGTATGGAAAAAGCTAGATAGAGGGTGAGTAAAAGATTCTGGTGTAACAAGTTTTGTTGGGAGAGCAAGAAAAGGGCTTATACCAGAACTTGGAAACATTCTTAAATCAGACCCCAAGACTCATGCAATTTTTACACCAAAACCACACAGAAAGCCTCTCTAACACATAATAAAGTGTGAAAATACCAAAAGCCACAAGCGCCCTAGAATTGTTGGGAGAGTGGGCTTAATAACAAAAGACCCTCATAAATGCACAGCAGAGTAACTTATCAGCAGTAGTGTGACCTAGCACCAGTAGCTCAAAGTGATAAGAAGAACAAAAACGCACAGACCAATGTTATCTCTTCCATAGGAGGCTTTTCTTTGTAGTAAAATATTATCATTGAACTATTTGTAACAATAATGTTTCCATAACACAAATAAACAAATACACAGTAACTTTACACACAGCAGTCTTCGTACACTGGAGGTTTCTTCTACGCGGCTTCTCTCACACAGAGATTTACCTCATACTGCTCAGGATGACACTAGCTTTTGGCCCACTGACTCTAACAGGCTTCAGCCTACTAACTCTTTCAGTGCTTAACTCACTCTTTTGTAATGAAAAATACCCAGTTAGTTTTTAATATTTCTGACAATCCCATACTGCCCATATATACCTCTGGCCTGAAAAAAAGAAAAGAAAGAAAAGTAATGTTTCTGAGTTCTGGCCTCTGTCACAGCTGGTTGAGGGATTCTGGGTGCTGTAGTCAATTTTCCCCACCGTGAGACTTCATCCCCCAACAGCAATCCCAAATGCCACAATTTTCCTCTTCGGCTCCTCTCAAAATGACAACAAGAGATGGCATTGTATTGTCAAGGACCACAAATGAAAACAGGTTTTTGTGCACCATGCCAGACTTGTGACTGGGGTGTTTCTACATGTTTAAATACATTTGAGGAACTTTCTGCATAATCAGATGAGAAAGAAAGTCCCGGAAGTCGTGCAGTGGTCACAAAAATGGGACTTAAGGGCTACATGCAGGCTGTAGGGTGCACCGTGCCCACCCCTGGCCTAAAGTGTCATATGCAGCCTCATGGGAGCTGCTGGTAACTCACTTCTCCTGGATGAGTAGCATGGAAAGCCTTCAGTTGCACAGGAGGAGTTTGTACAAGATGACTCCTCCCATTGCTGCAGTTGTCCCCCCCCTCCCCAATTTCCCTCTGTGTTTGTGATTACTCTTCCTCCAGAACACTCTGAACAGTGTGAGAAACTCTCCTCTGAAGGAATGCATGTGTGAGAGATTTTTTAAAAATAGAATGTATTTTTAATAGAGTTCATAAATGTCATAATGTCAGCAGCAGGCAAATAAAACACAGCCAAGACATTTAAAGTTGTCCACAAAAAAGGGAACAATCTGCAAAAGGATTAACCCAGCTTCAAGAATCGCAAGGGACTTACCCATATGAAAAGCATTCACAGACGTTCACTTTGGTTTGTGATATGTCTGTAAGCATGTCCTTCCATTTTGCAGCTGTTTCATATCTCTGTATTTCTTGCCCCTTTTTCATTCCTGGGCATTTAGTCCTGGGAGAGGTATGCCTAAATTAGTGTGGTTGAAACAACCATCAAATCATTTTGCCTGGAATGGAATTTGTAGCGATATCTGCCGATGTCAACATTTTCAACACCAGAACAGTCTTGGTGGTGGTGGTGGTGGTTTGGTTGAATATATAGGAAAGTGTTGAGGCGAGGAAGGCAATATTGCAGTGGAACTAACAATGGCTGGGGAGATGACTTGGTGTGCTTTGTTTTTAGCGTTTAGCTCTGTTTTCCAGACATTTATTATCTGTCCCAGTTCTCTAGTATTCCACACAAGCCTGTGATTGTTATATACTTGTTTTGGTCTCATTTCTCTCTTCCCTCTTGATTGTTTTAACATCTCTCATCTCTGATCTTATTCAAAACTAGGGTGAAATAGGGATGTTTTTAAAAAAAGGGTTTAAAAAAAAACGTGCATGAGAAGAGTTGATGTATGTCTGTCAACATTTGCACATGGAAACATCTGCAGTGAAAGATGTCGCGTTACCTTTTCTGTATCGTGAAGGACAACGTAAACCTAACTATCCATATCACATATAAAACCATATCTCCAATGCGGTCCTAAGCAATTGACTTGTGACATGACTGTCTTGGAATGAGAACAGAGTACTGCTGTATAACATCCTGTTTTATCTCCGTCCTAACCTTTCATACACTTAATGTTGCAGATCTTGGCTTCAGTTCTCTGTTAGGGAGTTCACTGGTGAATCAAAGGCAGAAGTAGAATTGAAATGTGCAAATGGAAAACTTCAAGTTTCCTATGTTAATTCAGCCATTGCATGCTGTCTGTACTTAAATAACTTTTCTCCTACAAAACAACCAGATAATTTTGTTCCTTCCTAATTCTTTTTTAATATTTTAATCCTTCTGAAATTCATCAAATTTCTATTTTAAAATATATTATTTTTTAATTTTGTGTCAAAAGCATTCCATAAAATAATTTATCTAAAACTGATAAAATAAAGGGATCACAAGCTGCTAGATAGGTTTAGACCAAAAATGTGCAACAGCAACTGCATTGTCTATAGCTTTAAACATTTTTTCCTCCGTGCTTGAGGCAGGGCATGGTGGGCAAGCCTACAGATGCAGAGTCGTTTGTTCTGCTCCACTGTTGCACAAAGTGGAGGATTCTTCCAGGTAGTGCCATTTTGCCAAGTTGTCTTTTGATCTGCCAACTCCACTTCCGAGTCTGTTCAGGGACTCCCAAGTTGCCCATTCTTGGTTTACCCCTGGAAGAAGACCCTCGTGGGGGGCCATCCAGTTAGAAAAATATAACATAATTATGCTGCAACTATGATATCCTTAAAGTCTTTAAACACAGATTATTAAAATTGGGATGGCAAATGCTGTAGTAGCATTGATGTAGCACTCAAATATATAATGGACAAAGAGGAAGGAGGAGGAAAAGATAAGGGGGGAAAGGGAAAGAGGCCACAAGGGTGGCTTCATAGAATAATAATCTGGCTTTTCCCAGACTGTCTTGGTAATATGTTTATACTCCTTTAAAATTGCTGTAAAGCTATGTGATGATGATTATTTTCCAAGAGCTGTGCTGTTTCAGTGTATAGTAAGCCTGACCTTTTTTCAAATAGAATTGATCTTTGATTACATTACGCCACATCTTTCACCTTGCGCTTGTTCACCGCTCAACATTCACGTTCAGTGACAATTTAGGATGCAGCTTCTAATAGCAAACTTTTTTTTATGTCAAAACCCATAGATCAACAAATTGGAATAAACAAGTAAGACCTGTTATGCCATCTGCAGTTATAGCAGCATCTCCAAAGCAGAAACAAAACAAGTCATGACCCTGAAGGATTTCACCCTTTGCCCATTCGGTTAGAATTTTCTTTCTGCTGATTTATTCTTCCTTTCTAAACAATGAACAGTGAATAGGATTGGTTTATCTTAGAATCGTAGAGTTGGAAGAGATTGCAAGGGCCATCCAGTCCAACACAGTCAAAGCACCCCTGATAGATGGCCATCCGCTTCTGCTTAAAAATGTTAAGAGAAGGAGACTTCACCCTGCGAAGCAGCTTATCCCACTGCCAAACAGCTCTTGTCATCAGGAAGTTCTTGCTAATGTTTAGGTGAAATCTCTTTATCTGCAATTTGAATCAATTGCTCCATTTTGACCTAGTCTCCAGAGAAGCAGAAAGCAAGCTTGCTCCTTCCCTCTCCATAGCACCCTTTCAAATAATTAAATATGGCTGTCATGACCCCTCTCAGCCTTCTTTTCTCCAAGCTAAACCTACCCAGGTCCCTCGGCCATTCCTCATAGGGCTTGATTTCAAAACCTTTCATCATTTTGGTTGCCCTTCTTTAAACACCTTATAGTTGGCCAATGTCCTTCTTGAATTGTGGTGACCATAACTCGATACAGTCCTCCAGGTGAGGTCTGACCAAAGTGGAATAGAGTGGGACAAGGACTTCCCTCAATCTCGATTTGTTGTTGTTTATTCGTTCAGTCGTTTCTGAATCTTTGTGACTTTATGGACCAGCCCACGCCAGAGCTCCCTGTCGGCCATGGCCACCTTCAGCTCCTTCAAGGTCAAGCCAGTCACTTCAAGGATCCCATCCATCCATCTTGCCTTTGGTCGGCCCCTCTTCCTTTTTCCTTCCATTTTCCCTAGCATCATTCTCTTCTCCAAGCTTTCTTGTCTTCTCATGATGTGGCCAAAGTACGTCATCTTTGCCTCTAATATCCTTCCCTCCAGTGAGCAGTCAGGCATTATTTCTTGAAGTATGGATATATGTATCTTGATACTACGCTCATATTGATGCAGCCTAAAATCGCACAGACTTTTTAAGCTGCCGAATCATACTGTTGATTCATGTTCAGTTGTTTGTTGACTAGGACTCCTAGATCCCTTTCTCATGGACTGTTTTCAAACTAGGTGTCACCCATCCTATATCTGTGTGTTTCAGTTTTATTGCCAGTGTGGACTGACACAATAAATCATAGTGGCATGTTAGGAGGAACAGTCAAGCTCATAAGCTCGATAGTACTGAAAGTACCCTGGAATATATTATCCTGGTGTATGTGTACATGTGTGTTCCAGGGTGCACTGTAGAATTAATGCAGTATGATGTCACTTTTGCTGCCATAGCTCAATGCTGTGGACTCATAGGAGTTGTAGTTTGGTGAGGCACCAGCACTCTTTGAAAGAGAAGGCTAAAGGCCTTCTAAAACTACAGTTCCCATGACCCCATAGCATTGATTCCATGTTGTCATCAAACTATATTATTTCCACAGAGTTGCCCCCC